ACCGTGTTGATGTTTCCGGCCTACACAGTCACTGTTAAGTTATGTTGCTTCACGAGACCCTAAGCCCAAAGCCCTAAACCCTGAAACCTAGGCAGATTCGGGGTGAGGTGGCGGCTAGGAAAGTCGTTTCGAAATCACGGCGCTAGGTCGTTGGCCGGAAGTCCAAGACACAAAGCCTTGGAGTCAAGAGTTTAGGATTTTAGGGTGTAGGGTTTAGGGCTTATACTTAGAGTTGAGGATTTGGGGTATTAAGGGTTTAGGAGAATCCCTCGACTTGTTGGCGAACAATCGGCCGCAGTTTGAATGCTATAGAATGAAACTTTGCAAGTCTATTGCCCTAAACTTCCCCAAACCATCAAATACTAAAACCTTACCCGAAATTCTAAAGCCCGAACCCCTAAACGCCATGCCTCCACCAACATGGTATTCTGGACACCTTTTCAGGCGGACGGAAAAGAGGTGATAAAGAAAGGAACCCCTAAACACCAAAACCGTACATCCCTCCAGGCTGAAGCATTGCCCAGGCCCTAAAGCCTCAACCCCAAACCAGGCATCGTGAGTCCGATTCTGCGCTTCACTTTGTATCCGATCTGTCAGAGCCCTTGCAGAGTTGAGGGGCCCAGGGTTCACTTACCCTAGGGGTCCAGGTAGTCCTTATTTATGGTTTTTGGTACCCAAAAATGCCCCAAAGTCTTTAAATAATGGGTACTTGGACCCTTAGGGTTAACCACCCAAAAAAAATGGTGCAACATTTTGGCCCAACACCTGTAAACAGGCTACTATTCTACATACTTGTGGGGTCCAGGTATGGTCCGTTTAGGCTGCAGACATTTTTGCGAGTGGGAACATGTCCTAGAGGGCCAGGCCAAGGAGATGATGTATAACCCACATGGGTAGTTGTCAAAATTATGGTCCCTTTTGGGGTACCCTAAATAATAGGTGCCGTATTATGATAAGGACCCAAAAAGGGACCATAATTTTGACAACCACCTACCTCGGTTTGGGTTTAGGGCTTAGGGTTTAGTTGGGTTCTTCCCCCAGTAGCACCCTTTTGTTTTTTTCTGCCAGCTAGTGGGAAAAGGGTACCCTGATTAATAAGGGGCTGCTGGGGAAGCTAGTGGGCTACCAGTACGGCTTTAGCTACCTGACAATTACTCCGAGCCTCCAAGTAGGCTCACATATCGTTACAACTTTCGCAGTTGTTCTACCTGTCTATTCGCAGCCTGGCAAACAGGAGGGTAAAGCGTGAAACAATCAGCGACACCCTCCTTAACATGTGCACGACGATTGGACATCTGGTAGCGTGTTGCACCACAACGCCCTGCTGACATTCCGAATCCAGTAGCCGCAGTCCTATGGAAGCCTCAATAATTACCAATGTTATGCTTCAGGTTTCCTTTTTCTGATTGTAGTATAATATACACCGAAACCCTATTCTGATTATTAAGGCCCTTACCCTAAACCCTATTCTAAGTCTTAAGGCCCTTACGTTAGTAGTGCTCAGAGTAAAGATGGGCACGGCTCAGCTGAACTTGGAAACACGGATCGGACCTTCAACCCCGGAGCATCGCGTGCTCCGTTAAGGGCCCAAGGGTCCAAAGGACCCTTGGGGGTAGGCTATGGCCTCACGTGCTTTGAGCTAGCGACTATAGCTAACACTTGTGCCTTGCGCTCAGGGTTTAGGGTTTAGGGTTTTGGGATGAACCCCTACTGAAACCCGAAATCGAAACCCAAACCCTAAAACCCTACGTTCTAAACCCAAAACACCCTCAACGCCTGACTGAGGACGCAGGCCGCCGCTTGGGTTCAGTCTGTGGCCGAGTGGAAGTTTGAACAGGCCCGGCCATGGCTTTGGAGTTTTGCCCTTCGGGTTTCATAGGGTTGTGGACCACCCATATTTGTAGGATTGCTCTTGTAGTATCAGGGTTTCGGGTTTAGGATCATATAGTGTACTGGCTGACAAACCCTAAACCCTAACCCTGAACAAACCCTTCCCTTAATACAGATTAGAATGGGGCCCCTTGAGATCTTTCAGTCGGGGTTCTGCGTCATTCATCAGACATCGGTCTTATAAGGTCTTTGAAGGGCCCTGCCTAGTTCTCTGCCAAAACCGAAATATTCTCAAACTCGATAAACCCCAAGCCGCGAAGTCCTACATCCTCAAGCTTAGACAGAAAACGCCCCAGAAGCCAGTTGAAAGTTTCCGACTTTATTGGACCTGAATAATACCGAATGAACCCAAAGCCACCGCATCCTTGGCAAAAGCAGCCGTTCGTCTGAGGATTCCCTTTTTCCGGCAACAGCCCTACACCCTAAACCCATATCAGCACCAGGAGTAGGACCCAATGGGTCCAAAGTACCTATATAGCGGTTTAGGGTTTAGGGTTTAGGGTTTAGGGAATGTAAGGTTTCTATATTAGGAATCCTTATTATGGTTTGGGAAAGTATCCCCCATAACAGTACCTAGGACCCTTTGGGGGAATGTCTGCCTTTGTTATCACCCTGGGGATCATACAAATAACGCATTTGTACTGTGCTACTCTGTTGCTTGGGCAGCGATTGAAGCCTCTAACAAGCAGAGCCCCATGCAGCCCTTCTGCAAACCCCAGAAACCGATACAACAACACCCCATCCAGCGCCTGTAAACCCGTAGTCGTACCGAAAAGCCAAAACCCGAAACCCTGAACCACCCTAAACCCTAAACCCTAAACCCTAAACCCTAAACCGTGAAGCAAGCGCAAGGTGGTAGCCGGACATCTCCAGTCACCCTTTCGGCTGAAACCCTCCGAGTTCCTGGAAGCCTTTGGATTCTTGTTCGGTGACGAAGCTGAACAAGGGGCCGGTTTAGGGTTTCAGGGTTTAGGGTTTCTTGGGTTTAAGGGTGAGTCAACCGGGTGTTCGGGTTTAGGGTTAAACCGCTCGGCTGTTCTATAGTGGCCTGAATAGGCAAGCTAGGAGTTGGTGGTATGTTTTGTTCTTCCGTGGCCGGTTTTAGGGGGGCTCGAGAGTCTAAAAAAAGCTTGCTTCACAATAGCAGCCGCGACGAGCGTGTGTTTGCGACATACTGTTGGTGATACAAATCCTGCATTACCCTAAGGACCCTAAACTTAGGAAATTATGGTATACTCCTTATTATGGGTAATGCAGAATTCATATCATCAGCAGTAGTCTCTAACTCCTCCGGCTTTCCGAGAATATGGAGACCCCCCCAAACTGCCACCCTAAACCCGAAACCCTGCCTACAGTCTCCCTTGTAGCTCTTGTGTTTGGTTTCTTGAAGCTATATCTGAAGGATCCTGTAGGCTGACCCCCAATAAGGAGCTACAATGCCTTAAACTACCAAACCCTACTTTTTTGTAGGCTCTTATTCTCAACCCTAACATGGAAATTATAGGGACCCTACAAAAAAGAAGGTTTTGGTAGGTTAAGGTGGAGACTACAGGTACACCCTAAACATTAAACCCTATTTGCTAAACCCTAAACCCTAAACCCTGAACCCCAACCCTAAACCCTAAACCCTAAACCCTAAACCCCAACCCTAAACCCTAAACATCAAGCCCTAAACACTAAAGTGCTCTACCAGCAGATGTGGCTACAGCTCATGCAGGCAAAAGAAGTTCGTGGGAGCCCTCCAAGGACTGCCTTGCTTTCACTTTAGGTTTTAGGGTTTAGGGTTTAGGGTTTAGGGTTTAGGGTTTAGGGTTTAGGGTTGGGGTTTAGGGTTTAGGGTTTAGGGTTGCTTTCAGGGCTTTGCCTGTAGCCGCAAAAGTCTTGGTAAGGTCCCTGACTTTGACTTCTTTCTATGATTTCTAGTAGAAGTCACACTTTTTGGCCTTCAGCTTGGGTTAAGGGCTTCAGAGGCGGTTGTTGTATGGCCCTGGGGTCCAAATCTGGGTTTTTCAAACTCTGAGCTAAACCCGAAACCCTAAACCCCAAACCCTAAACCCTAAACCCTATAAACCGTAACAACGTGCCCAGAGCCAGATCTGCTTACTTTGAATAGATCTTCGAAACATACCTTTTTGGGCGCCTCCCAACAACTCTTTAGGGAAGTAGCCGAACATGGGGGAGGCTCCATTCTTCGGCCCGTCTGCGGGTCCAAGATTGGACGTGGCCATAAGGGCGCCTTGACGGAAACTCCAATCTGGTTGCCGAAGAATGATGAACCCAATGTGTTAATAGCATGTTGTTCATTATGGGTCTACGAGGCCTATGGCAGTTAGAGACAACCACCATATCTTCGAGGTGTAACCTACCGAGATGTGCTCCCTAGCGGGGTAGGTCTGAGGGGTGAATGCCAACTATAACCCATGAAACGTAGATAAGGGTGTGAATAACTCGTAATCCCGTCCATCGTGTATACATATATATATATATATACAATAATACCACGCACAGACACGCATACACACACATATATATATATATAAATATACACATACATGTACACACATATATATATATATATATACACACATGTATATGTATCTATGTATATATAATATGTATGTATATATATATATACATATATATATAGTTATATGTGTATATGTAATTACATACATATATATATATATATGCACGCAGTTAAGTGTGTGTAAAAGCATATATATATATATACACATATATATATATATATATATATATATACATGCATGTCTAGTTGTACTGTGTGTCGTCGTCGTCGTCGTTGTTGTTGTTGCTGCTGGTGTTGTTGTTGCTGTTGGTGTTGTCGTTGTTGTTGTTGCTGCTGTCGTTGTCGTTGTCGTTGCCGTTGTCGTAGTAGTCGTCGTCGTACGGGACGAGGAGGAGCAGCAGCAAGTTGGTTCTTGTAGCAGTAGGAAACCGCTTGTCACCTTGGGTCCTTGTATTACTTTTGGAAGTGACGTCATGACCTCATGCTATGCTGAAAGATAGTAGCAATGTTCCGTTCAGAGTACCACACCAACGACAGCAAGCATGACTATCTCTGGCTCCTTGCCGAAATGAATTCTGCAAAGGCCACGCTGATGGAAGGGGTACCGAAACTGGGCGCACCTAGGCTGTTCTTCAAAATGATTTTGAGTTTCCCATACATACATAGTCCGAAGAAGACACAACATAATGCAGAAGCCTGGCTAATCGCCCATACTGTTCCTTGCGTTTTCTTACACTCACTGCACTAGAATACACCCCAAATCATTCTTCGGACTGTAAGGCCCCTATAATTAGATGATTTTTGTTTCGGTCTGCATCAGCCCAGGTGCTGGATTTCTCGTCGCCAAGGTCACGGCGGTGGCTGAGGACGGCAGCTTTTACGTGCAGACCGGAGATGGGCGTCCGGAGGCCCCCGGCATGCGAAACCCTAAAGTGTAGGGCTCGGGGCTTAAATGTTCGAACCCTAAACCCTAAATTTTAAACTCCAACAGACAAGCCCCAAACGCCGCAAACACTCCAACTTGTTGGTGCCTCGACTGTTGGTCCTCTCCGTTCTGCAAAGCTTGACTGTTGCTAGGATGTTTTCGAGGATATGTATACGATTTTGGCAAAACACGGTTGTGAGAAGGACTGAAGGCGGTAACAAGTGTTGAAGAAGAACCTAAGGGGTCCCAAAGTGCCTTTATAGTACAATGTAGGGTTTCTATAGTAGGACTTATTATTATGCTTTACGGAAGTATCCCCCATAACAGTACACAGGACCCTGTGGGGGAAATAAACTCCAGCTCAAACCTCTCAGCTTCGACGATTCGACTTCCATGCACTTGGCCCGAAAGGTCAAGGTCAATCAGAAGCAGCAGGCGGGGACAGTGCAAAAGAATACCTACAGTCTCCCTTGCACTGCGATTCTTTTCGGGGGTTACCTTGTAGACTTATAGAGTTCTAAGTAAAAGCTGGCTAAACCAAACAATGAAGTACAATGGATAATACAGTTACAGGAAATCTCTAAAGCCCCACGGTCTTACCCTTCATGGTCTAAAGTTGCAGCTCGGGGTTGGAAGGGGGGTTTAGGGTTTCGGGTTTAGGCTTAGGGTTGCGTTTGAGTTTGGGGCACGGGCTTGAGATGTGCAGAGTTTCCTGCATCCTCGTTGGGGCTTTTGAGGAATATGTGTTTGATACTACCAGTAAGGGTCCATGTACCTTCATAAGACGTTCTTTTAGGGGTTCTTCAAAGGTTCTTTTCAGGATGTGTTAAGGGTTTTATAGGGTCGACTAGCTGGTTGACGATAGGGCATTTTAGCATCGCCTTCAAGGGGTTCCTATCTTGGTGCTTCAGGTTCATGGAACATTAGGCCCTTCGGGTCCCTAAGTACCTTTATCGTAGAATGTAGGGTTTCTATACTAGGACTTATTATTGTGCTTTAAGGAAGTATCCCCCCATAACAGGACACAGGACCCTTTGCGTCTAGGGTTTAGGACCCCTGTGGGTTAGGGTACCCTAAGGTTCGGGCCGAAGAGCACCTCACAGGAACCTCTTAAAGTCCCCCGCGTGAGATAATACAGCCATCCTTGTGCATGTGTGTGTGTGTGTGCTGACTATACAAATATGCAATACATGCATGTATGTTCGTATTGCGGACCTGTATATCTACATCTATATCTGTTTCTATATATATATATACATATAGAGAGAGAGAGAGGGTGCAATATAGAATAACAAAAAATATCTCAGAATGTAGTATACCATACTGCACCCGAGTATACCATACAATATTATGCTATGCTGCACTACACTATATTAGGCTATACTATACGTTTTTTAGACTAGAGTATACTATAGTGTACTATACTACACTATACCATACTGAACGATACAAAGCAAACTATACTTTTCTATGCTTTGCTACCTTTTCTATATTTTGCGAATCTGTAACTAGAATTTCCCACATCCTACTTTACCAGACTAAACTATTTTATACCATACGATACCATACCATACACTTTGCTATTCTATACCGTTCTATACTATTCTATACTACTCTATACCATAGATTTCCACACTATACTACATTATACTGTACTATACGGTAACATAACATATCATAATGTCACAGAATATGATTGAACATGACAGAATATTGTATAACATCACATATCACGGTATAGTATCATATCGGATGATAGAATGTGATTCAGCATGATGCATAGAATGTGACATACGGCAGTATCAGATCATGTAACATAACATGATATTTTCGAGAATGTAATATATTATGTTACAATTAAGAAGGTAATATGCTTGAGCACAAGAAAACCGAATAGAGTACAATATATTAAAACATGATGCGATACAACATATTTATAATGCAATATATTGCAAGGTCATTCAGTATATCCTGATGTAGTACACTACAGCACAACAGAATAGCATAGAATAGAAGAGATGAAACATTCAACTAAATACTTCACTGTCTGGCAGAATTTGTATACACATCCCTACATACATACAGACATGCGAACACAACAAATGCGCACAAGTTGGGTCTTCTCCGTCTTGAGGGTCGGGATCAAGCCTTGCGTTAGAGGAGTTTTCCGTAATGCACGGTTTAGGGTTTAGGGTTTAGGTTTTTCGGGTCCATTTGGGGAAGGTCCTCCCTTGGCCAGAGCTGCTGAAGCTGGCAAGCAACGGTCTGCGCTGCGTACCCCGATGTACTGAAAGGATCAGGGTTCCTTCTGACGGGTGCTACAGGGTTTTGTAGTAGGATTCTGGGTCTGCTTGACTTCAAGGATCATGGGGCGTATTAGCTAGGGTTATAAACAAGGATAACCAACAAATGATGAATGTAGAGGCCTGAATGATTAGACCAGGGTTTCGCGGTGTTCTAGAGTACAACTAATCACGTAGGGCACATCAGGACATGTTATTGCTGCTTATTCCGGCTTTTGCATCCCAAGAGCTCCAAGTATACAAACAGTGTAGTGGTTTAGGCTTTCGGGTATAACTTCGGGACTTAAAGTCTCCAAAATCCATATTACGTACGGCGGGCTATCTGAAGCCATAGGTCTTGTGACAGTAGTGTGATGAAGTTGAACCTACTGCGGGGCTTGGGTTCCAAAGATTCAATATTTGCATCTTTGCATAGTTGGTACCCAGCAGGAAACTGTAGAGCTGTTTGAATTTGGTGCAAGGTTTACCGGCTCTTGCCAGGAAATGAAAGCGTCCTGCGTATCCTTGCATGGGAAACTCTACCCACAGTCTCCTTTGTAGTTCCCTTTTCGGGTTACCTTATAGAGCCATAGAGTCCTAAATAAACAACTAGTTTATAAGCCAGAGAAAGGAGCTGCAATGGAGACTATAGGTGAACTTTTCAGTGGTTTTGAGCCAGGAACCATGTTGCCTTTAATTCTGAAGACCGTAGAGGAAAGCCACTGGTTGGAAAAACTTGTTTTGGGCAAGCTGTTTCGAGTTTGCTGTATGCGTACTGATGGTATTGAAGCTCAACACAATACGATGACCTGTGCAAATCACACTTATTCTGGCGCGGTAATGCAGTGAAAGAACAATGAGCTCGGTTATTTCTAGGGGTCCCTTAGCATCAGTTCCCTGCAATACCGATCCTAGTGTGGGTTCTCTATTAGTCTCCTTGTTTCGGAGACTACAACACGTGAAGCTCCGGGTGCACTGTAATGACATCCGAATACAGCCTGTGCTAAAACCCTGCATTTCACGATGAAGCCTTCTTGAAACCCCTTTTATATCCTTGTCTCTACACAGCAGAAAGACCCTAAACCCTAAACTCTAAACCCCAAACCCAAAAGCCTCTACAGTACTAAGCCCAGCTCGACAACCCTAATGAATAAGCAAGAGCCGCTCCATCCTTCAAGACATTTCGTGTCGACATATAGGTAGGTATACATATACACACACGCACGCCTTTATATATGTAATCTATATATAATATATCTTTATCTGTTTGTTTTTATTTATATGTACGTATATGTATAGATGCATGTATATGTTTGTGTGCGTACAAGTTTAATCTAAATCAGTTTATGATATCAGATATGTCTGTTTATCTCTTGGGCACTCATGCATGTCCATATCTATGTACAAGGCACAGGAGCCCATTATAAGCCCAAACCCCTAAACCCGAAGCCCTAAACCCTAAGCCCTAAACCCTAAACCCCAAGCCCTAAACCGCGCCCCTTGCAGAGTCCAGGTTGACTGGGTCTCTCAGGGGCCCGCGGATTGGATGCAGAGCGCCGGTCCCGGCTTTAGACTCTCCCGGCAAGTGGCCAAGGTCTGGGCGCGCTCATGCGCTCTCACCTGGTAGTAAACCTACTATATGACTTATAAGTTATAGACTTATAAGTACCTCAATGAGGTTTAAACGTAGTTATAAGTAAAGTTACTTTAGTATAGCTAGCCAAGTTACTAAGTTCCCAATGAACCTTTGGGTCTTCGGGCCATCGTCCCAGGGAGAAGTCATCGACTTCTTTGTGTCCCACTCGTGGTCGGATGGGCCAGAGAGGACGCATGTCAAAACGAAGGGTTTTGCAGTCACTGGGTGCGCGTGCAGCATCCACTCTGTCTTTCTGTCTTTCTGTCTGTGGCGTCTGCCTGCCTGTTAGCGTGTATCTTTGTTTCTACTTTCTACGTGTCGTACGTTCGTTATTTATTTTCTTCTTTGTGTTGGTCTTTCCGTTTGCCTGTCTTCCTGCCTGCCTGCGTTTCTATCGATCGACCTATTTAATTATCCATTTTCCTATCTATGTATTCATCTATCTATCTATCTATCTATCTATCTGTCGATATTTCTTCATATCCATCTATCTGTCTATATATATATATATATTTATTTATCTACCTGTCGACATTTCTTCAGATCCATCTATATGTCTATATCGATCTGTCTATCTATAGATCTATCTATCTATCTGTCTATCTATTATTATCTATCTGTCTATCTACATGTCGACCTTTGAACCTGTATGAAGGCATGCATGCAGGCATGTGTGCGTGTATTTGTGTGTGTTTGGATGGACGGATGGATGGATGGATGGATGGATGGATGGATGGATGGATGGATGGATGGATGTTTGCATGTATGGATGGATGGATCGATGGATGGACGGGTGGATGTGAGAACGTGAGAATGTGTAAACTATATATATATATATATATTATATATATATATATTATATTATATATATATGTGTGTGCACATATATATATATATATGTATATGTATTGGTCAATTACCACAGTTTTTTGTCTTCCGAAGTAAATAAAGACCATGGCCATCTTGATTTCCCAGAGCCAGTGCGAGGAAGTGGCGGGCCCTTCAGCTAGTGGCAGAGATGTTCTACGCTCAGCATGGGAGATATCCCACCTTCTGGGTCGACAAGTTCTGCATCGATCAGCGTGACGTGGCCGATGGCCTTCGCGTGCTGCCGGTGAACGTGATGGCTTGCAGGAAGGTGCCTTGTTTTGTGCAGTCGAAGAGTAGCCCATGTGGTTTTGGCTTTGCTCGAGTGTGCATACGCAAACGCTCCCACTGACATCATGTTCGCACTTCGCACTGTTTCATTACAGCTCAGGTCCTTGTGCTTTGTGGATGCACCTATCCTACCCGTCTTTGGTGTGCTTGGGAACTTTGTGTTTTGCATTTCGGCTGCATGCGCGAGCGCGTGTCCAAGCAGCTTCCCCTTGTTCCCCCCAGGCTCCATGCGCTAAGGCTAGGCCCTAAAGCTTACAATCCGAATTTCCGGAACCTAGATCCCCGCTGCTTATCTGTAGTTAAGCACTAATGCCCCTCCAAGGTTACGTTAATAGGGCCTCAGTAAAGCCGCAAGGCTTAAACAATCCCAGGCTTTCCTTCATGTCGCTGGAGATGGCACTGAAACAGCTGGTGGCCACTTGCCTTTTGAGTACATTTCTGTAGAATCCTGTAGAATGTTCTTCCTTACGATTCGGATTCGGGGTGTTAACAGGCGCATCTAAACATGAAGCTCTGCACCCCTAACCTGGGTCCCTAAGCCCCCAGACCGCAGAACCCGCAATCCTATAGTACTCTCATAGAGCTCTTGTAGAGCGCTTGCTTAAAGGTCCAATGGGACTAAGTAACTACCGTGATGAATGAGGTAACTGTACCTTAAGCTGGTTATAACCCCAGTTAAGGTACTTGTAGCTGTAGTTAGTAAGTCTCATGAACCTCCAAGTACCCCAATAGTACCCTTATAAGAAACCCACAAGAAACCCTCGTAGATCCCTTGCAAGAGCCCTTTAAGTTACTATCCTGGAATGAGTGCCTTGACAGGGAACCGAGGTACCATGGAGCCGTATACCCTAAACCCTAAACCCTCACATTACCCTTAAAGGAACCTCCTATAAGAACCCTTAAGCGGTACATGGAGCCTTGGAGAAAACCCAAAACCCTAAACCTTCAACCTTGAAACCCCAAACCCTAAACCCTCAACCCCTAAACCCGAAACCCCTAAAACCCTAAACCCGAAACCCGAAACCCTAAACCCTAAACCCTAATCCCCCAGGTCATGCCCTTGAGCCAAGTGTCCTTGGGCGAACTGGCGAAGTTTGACTCTTCGGTAGCCCGGTGCTACAACCCGAACGAGGAGCGGATATGAGGAGGCTTTGGGGTTTAGGGTTGAGGAGGGTTCTAGACCGGAGTGCTATACACCTGTTCTACAAGGCCATCATGTCTACCTTTGCCTTTATGAAGCTTTTGATGGAGAGGGTTTAGGTATGAAGGGTATGTTCCTAAATTGGCTACGGGATCAAGACATTTGTGTGTGTGTGTGGCTCGCTACAGCTCTATAGGGCCCGAGGGGTTGCAGTGTATACTTCGGCCCGAAACCCTAAACCCTGCGCCCTAAACACTAAACTCTAAAGCCTAAAGCCCTAAACCCTAAACTCTAAAGCCTAGAGCCCTAAACCCTAAACTCTAAATAAACCCTAAACCCCCCCTAAACCCCCAGCTTTACAGGGCCCGAGGGGTTGGGGTTGCAGGGTATACCTCAGGCCCCGAACCCTGAACGCCCTCCGGCAACACTGTTCTAGGCCAGCACTTCAGGGTTTAGTGTATAGGGCTTATGCTTTAGGGGTGCTTTATTAGGCTTATGGGGGTTGCAGCTTGTAGGAAAGATTGGGTTTATAGGGGTTTAGGGTTTAAGGGTTTAGAGTTCAGGGAAGCCCGAGTGACAGAAGCGCTATCTCAGAAGCTTTACGACCACCTAGAAACCCACAGCCGCGAAGGTCTCATCCCAAACCCTGAACTTCGAAGCTCTGTGCCGCTGAGCCCCCAAAAAGCTTGGCTAAACTCTCAACCCTTTGTTAAAACCCTTAACTCCGAGACCGTACGCCTCAAACCGAACCCCAAAAAGCCCTCAAAGTCAAAGCCCCATATCCGACAGCCTAAAGCCTGAATACCAGTGTAAAGTTGAGACCTGCCATGTCGTACAGTATAACCCAAAAGGGTCCTAGGTACTGTTATGGGGGGGGTACTTTCGTAAATCACAAAAGAATTCCTAATATAGAAACCTTACATCTACTACATAGGTACTTCGGGCCCTTTGGGTAATGAGAACTTGGTCGGACCTGGTTTCCGGAGGAGAACCTTAAGGCCTGAACACAGAACCACAAATGGCAACAACCCAAACCTCGAGCGCGCCCTGAAATTCGAATCCCTAAAGCACTGAACCCTAAACCCTAAACCCAACCACGAACTTACAAAAGGATCCTTTTCGGGAGCCCGGTAAGGAACTCCCATTAGAGGAACCCTTAAATGGGTAGGGTTTAGGGTTGGTCCCCATACTCTTAAACCCTATACCATAAAATAGGGGCCTAAATAATTACCAACGTTGTTTTGGGGGTTCCTCATTATAAGTACAATATAATGGGCCCCGAAACCCTATTCAAATTATTTGGGCCCCTAGATTACAAATTCATAGGAGCTCCGTCTCCGCCGTGTGATCACGGCCATTGGCCAGGCGCGAGCTGGGGTTGGGGGCTTTGCGCTTTTAGGGTTCCTTTAGGGTTTAGGGTTTAGCTCTGGGTTCTATGATGGTGCTTTTGGGTTTCAGGTTGAGGGCTCTAGGGTGCATGTTTGAGGTGGTGGTTTAGGGGTTTGGGGATTACTGCGCAAGCGCTGCTTAAGAATGGGCTCTCTGTCTAGGTCAGGGGGCTCAGATTTTTAGCTCTGCAGGTTGTTGACAGGATCACAATGTTGCTACTATGCACCTAAACCCTAAACCCTAAAAGGCTCAGGCAGGCTCAGATTCTTGGCACCTTTCTCCAGGATGTCCACCAGGGACCACAGGCATTAGGAGAGGTCGATAGACCACTACTCCAGAGCATTCTTCAGAACCAGAGGTTGTGTAGCTCTACCCTATACAATGCTCTAGAATCTGAGGGCTCAGATGTTGAATTCGCAGGTTTTCGGAGCCTGGTTGTGTCAAGCCTATACAAGCCAAAAATCTGAGGGCTCAGACTCTTAGAGTCTTAAGTCGCAGGTTCTTGTGTCAAGCCTATACAAGCTAAGAATCTGAGGGCTCAGATTCGGACTCAAATGCCTAAGTTAAAGGCACACCGCCCAATGGGTGAAATATGACATTGTGCAGCGAACTTCAGCCCCCCCAAACTCTTGAGCAATGAATTCTTAGCCAACACGCCCGCTGTTGAGTTGGCTAGAGTGTGTTTCAAGTATCAGTTTAGGTAAGGGGTTGGCCCCCGGAATCACTTCAGGAAGTATGTTCAAACTGAACCAGCGCTTCGGTTTTAGGATGTAGGGTTTAACCAAAACCCTAAACCCTAAACCCTAACACCACAACCCTGAAGCCATGCACACAGCTGTATCTTGGAGGCCCCAACAAAGAATCAACATCTTTCGGATGCATCCTCAAGCTAAACCATGTTTCCAGTGCACGGTTCCTTTACCGGTTATAAAGGCTTTGTAGTGGGTCTCATAAGGGTGCCATAGAGTTGCGGAGTTTCCGGGTTTAGGCCTTAGGGGTTTATAGGGTTATAAGGAGAAGTTCATGGGCTTCGCTGTGGTCTATGGAGTCTTGCATTCCGGATCTCGTTGCCAGCTTAGGATCTAAATTTGAGCCATGGCTGTAAAATTCGGAGCCTTCAAGCCCAAAAGCCTTTCAATGGCACACCCCCCCCCCCCCCCAATCAAAAACAGAATCGAAGGGCATCCAGGTGGAAAGGTAGGGTTTAGGGTATGAAGACGCCTCAGCTGAATCCTGCTCCCACGCTTTGAGGTCCGTGATAGGATCTTGAAGCATCCTAACGGACATCATCAGTCATGAACCTCAGGCTCGCGCTATACCCAGAGACTCCGCTGTCCCGCAATTAAGGAGTATACCTTGAATTATAGTAGGATCCCTAATATGATTTCAGGTATATGTTTCCTCAATTAAAGGATATTGGAGTCTCTGGGTACTGCAAACCCTGACAACCAAATCCTATAGCCTCCGGCTGCAGAAGACAGCTGGCAGATTGAAAAAGGCCCACCAAAGAATTGTCAAGCCCAAGGGGTCCTAAGTACCTATCGAGTAGAATGTGTAGGGTTTCTAGACTAGGAATAGTTAGTCTGATTGGGGAAAGTATCCCCCGTAACAACACTTCGGACCCTTTGGGAAATGAAAGGTGCGCTTTGAGTCCAAGATACGAGCTGTTGGACAGCTCATCCTCGACAGGGAGCTGAACGGCCAAGGGCTGATGATGGACACCCGTCTGATTACCCTCGGGGTCATTCAGGGTCCATGTACCCAAATCATGACTATCTTGGCCTTCATGTAGTCCCTATCTAGGTACTTCAGGGCCAATGTAAGTACTATTTAGGTGCATGGACCCTTCTGATAAGCTAACTGTTTGAGGGTTTAGCTTAGGGCCTAGGGTTTCAGGCTACCCTCAGCCATAAACCCTAAACCGGTTCTCGGGAATAGAGCTTGGGACTCAATGTTTAGAGCATTAGCAGACTTGTGCAGGTGTACTACCTTATTTACTTGGTTGGACAGTGTCGGTTAGGGTGTAGGGTCTAGGGGTTTAATTTAATTCCAGGAGGTTTGTAGCTATCCCATAGGGCGTTGCTTTCGGTTTCGGGTTTGGGATTCAAGGTTTGCGGGCTATTTGCGCATGGCTGGCATGGCTTCATGGCATGACCCTGAAATCCCAGAAAGCGACAACAAATCAGACAAAATGTGGAAATCTTGCGGCTTTAGGGCCGGCAAGGTCTGGCGGATGTAAAGAATCGGGATTCTTGCAGGGCAGGTATCCTACTCGGATCCGCTACAACCAGGGAGTTCCCTGCCTCCCCCCCCCCCCCCCCCCGGCCCCCCTAACAAGAAAGGCCCTAAGCCAGGAGAGCGCTGGCGGCAATTTCGGAGAGCGCTTCCGCTATCAGCTGAGCGAATCCAGCTATGCCTCCGAGCCTTGCGAGAGAGAAGACTCTTTGGTCCAGGAGGTGTTCTGACCTCTTTCCAGCTTTCCCGTTAGGATGAAACGGCTGATGGACAAAATCCTGCATGACCTTATATACCCAAACTATGGGATTTATGGTACTATACTATATTTGGGTCATGCAGAATTTTGTCCATCAACAGAAGGAACCTGCCATTCCCGATGTTCGGATCTTCGAAGCGAACTGGGCAAGATCCCCCAGCAACCCTGCACCTCAGGCTCCCAAACCGCGTCAGCCACAAGAACCCAAGACCCCAAAATGATGCCTGGCCCTACCCATACCCTCCATTGCAGTCTTTTTTGTGGTTGATATTTGGGATCCTATAAGGTAACCCCCGAACAGGAACCACAATGGAGCCTGTGGGCAAGGCCTCCAGGCCCCTATGAGCTTTCCAGCTGCCAATCGCAGCATGCGGCCCCAACACAGCAGACCCAGCAATCGGCAAACTCCATATTGTAATCAACGTGACAATGATAATGGTAAACACTTCCTTCTTTGCCGTCCACTAGCGTGGAATGGGTTTGTTTAGTTGCTCCGAACGGCACCATGTTGCGCACCTTAGGTTGACAGTCCAGTGACATTCGTCTGGCTTATCCTTCAAAGGTGGTTCATCCACTCCCACCTTTTCTATCTTTCAGGGCGAAGCCCTGCTGCCTCTACACGTTTTGCATATGAGGCAAGCAGACTCAAGCGAAGCTTTAGAGTTTTAATTCGCTTGCCTGCGGAGAATGTCCACCCACAGAGACCAACAAGCTTCCCGCTGCTGTGCTGGACTACGGCCCCTTCAACCCTAAACCTTCCCTTCAACCCTCAACCTTAATTAAGCCCTAAACCCCAAACCTTCCCTTCCACCCTAAACCTTAAACCCCCAAACCTTCTTCGAATCGGAGCTCTACACGCGAACCTCCGGGGCCTAAATAGACCAACAGTGACTCCAACGCCGTCGTCTCGCTGCCCTGTTTCCAGTACCCTCTTAGGGGTTTCACACTTAGGGACATCGAAGACCCCAAAAGCTAGTAGATTTACTCATAGAGCAACAGAAAGCCAACAACAAAAACCCTACAATCCTAGACCCAAGAAAGCTGCAAACCCTAAAACCCCCATCCCCACAAGCACCAGGCCGTAAATACGAAGAGAGAGTCAGGAATCGCTCCAGGGCTTTCTCGCGGGATCCTTTTTTTTAATCATCTGCCAGAAAATGGAATAATTAGGGCTTTCGGGCTTTCGGGATTCAGGGTTCCAGGGTTACAGGGTTTTGAGGGCTGATTGTCCGACAGCCCTGATTTGAGAAAGCTCCTACTCAAACCTGTCGGGGTTTAGGGTCTAGGATTTAGGTTTTAGGATTTAGGTTTTAGGGTTTAGGATTTAGGGTTTAGGATTTAGGGTTTAGGATTTAGGCTTCAGGGTTTAGGGTTTAGGGTTGATTAGGGTCAAGCCTAGGCCTGTAAGATGAGTGGTTGAGGCAGTCCGTGCAAACACCTCCTACTCCTTGTCCCCGGGAGTCGCGTCGAGCTCAGTTCCATACCGGCTTGGACTCTAAGATTCAGAGCCCCGTGCTTCGGGAGAAGGATAGCTTCTCCGGCTTTCCATGGCCTTTGCAAGGGGTTATGGAGCTATATAGGATGCGTTGTGTTGAAGAGTGCCAGGAGGTTGCAGCGCGTTTTTGGGGGGTTGACTGCTTGGACCTTTGCTTCTTGTTTTCAGAGTTTGGTGACACTAGAAACCCGACACCCTATAAGCCCTAAACCCTATAAACCCTAAGCCCTAAACCTTATAAGCCCTAAACCCTATAAGCCCTAAGCCCTTAAACCCTGTAAACCCTAAGCCCTAAACCCTATAAACCCTAAGCCCTAAGGGCCTCAGTCGCGGTCGCGCTCGTTGTCGTAATAGGGCTTTACGGCCCCCAGGCTCCGGGTCTCGGACCTCTACTTGACGATTCCTGGGCGCTAACGTAGCATTCTAGCAGCCTAAATAATTACCGATACTATTTTAGGGGGTGCCTTATGATAATAGTACTACACAGCTATTTTAGGGGGCTTCTTGTTAGAATAATACTACAGAGCAGCACAAAACCCTGTTCTAATTATTAAGGCTTCTACATTACCTGGACCCTTAAGAACCTCCTTTTTTTTTTGGGGGGGGGGGGCTCCTTACCCAAAGATGCGGGATACTTCCCTAAAGCATAGTAGTAATTCCTAACATAGACTACAATTCTGCTATAAAGGTACTTTGGACCCTTTGGGTTATTATGGTTTCCTTATATAGGTCCTTAAACAGGTAGGTTCTTCGGGGTCTAGGTAGAGTATGTAGGGTTACCTTCTACATTCTACAGCTACCTCTACGTGAGCTATATTGAATCCAGCAAGACTTTGCGAAGCCCATCAGGGAGCCGATTGTGAAACCCTATAGTGCCCTATTTTTTCCTTGCCTTAAAGGGACCCCATTATGGAACCGTAGAGCCCTATAGCAACTTTAAAGGAACCCCGTTGCAGAACCCTTCACTGCTACCCTTAAAGGAGCCCATTAGCGGTACCTTGATGAGGAATATCAGACCATCTGCAGGGAAATTTGGGGTCCTGGAAACCCTCAAACCCTAAAGCTCATGAAGCCCTAAACCCTAAACCCTGAACTCTGAATCCTAAACCCAATACCCTGAAACCCTACACCCTAAACCCTGAACTCTGAATCCCAAACCCTAAACCCTAAACCCTGAACTCTGAATCCCAAACCCTATACCCCGAAGCCCCAAAACCCTAAACCCTGAAGCCTTGCCTCAACTTCCTACAGAAACAGCTGGGCGTTGGAGGCCAAAGGCCCCCTAAAGGTGGTGCCCGGGAACCCAGGCCGTCAGGTTCGGGGTTCTACTGGGGTTATTTAAAGTTTCAGCGGGTTAGAGGGTTTAGGGTTTCGGGGTTTAGGGTTTCGGGGTTTTGGGGTTTAGGGTTCAGGTTTCAGAGGCTAGGATGGGATGTTCCAGTTTTAGTGGGCCGTATGGGGCATTACAGGTTCTGGAGTCGACAGAGGTAAAGGACTCAGGGTTTAGGATCGTGCTGTTGCAGCTGGTGTTACGGGGTTTAGGTGCCAGTTTTTGGGTAGCATCCCGAAACCCAAAACCCGAAACCCCAAACCCTAAACACTAACTGTCGGGTCGCGGTTTACATATGACCTCAGGGCCTGGGATGGTGGCTTGGGGGTTGTAGGTTCCGCGACCAGCGGCGACGCGAATGTTCTCGTTTGTGCGCCTCGAGCTGCCACGGTTTCGGGTTGAATGTAGGGGCCTGAATAATTACCAATTCTATTTTTTGGGGTGGTTCCTTATTATAATTATGGTATAATGGGCCCCAAAACCCCACTGTAATTATTAAGGCCCCTCTATTAGGGCTTATCAGGGTCGTAGCGAAAACGTGGTTGTCGTGTGTTGCGCTATGCTCCTTCTGCTCATGTTTGTTGTTGTTTTGATGCTGCTGTTGTTTGTCTTGACACAAATTTAAGGCATCCGGTGTTTAAGGTTTGGTTTTCAGTGTTCAAGCATTGTCGCCAGATGGTTTGGGTTGTTGTTGTTTCCTATTTGTTCTACTGTTGTTGCGAGCTGAGTGGCTCTCACATTCACCCGGGACGCGTCGTCCCTTTTTGCGTCATCGCGAGCAGCAGAGCGCTAATGTTCCAACACCTGATGTTAAGGTGCCCATGAAAACTCCAGACTTCTGGCCCGAATACCCTCATTCGTACGCTTTATTTCCATTCCTGTATATCAATCCCTGAAACATGCTGCCTGTGCTCAGATGTCCATCCGTGTTCGGTCTCGAAAATCCCACAAAGTCTGCCTCCAGGATAATTGGCAATGCCTTTCCTTCGGGCTCGTTAAGGAACTTGTAGCAATTCTAAAGCCCTGCATATTCTATTGTTAACCGTCTTCTGTTAAAGGCCCCCACGACCATGCACCCTCGCATACTCTTAGCCTCTACAGTGTAGAACTCGCATAGGGAACTTGCAAAGATCGAAAGGACCTAGAGCTCTTGAGGCAAACAATTAAAAAAAAAAACATATGCCTCAACCCCAAATCATTACTCCCAAACCTTCAACTCCTACCCTAGACCCTACACCGTAACTTGACCCCTAAACCAAAAACCCCAACCCCCAAGCCCTCAACCTGAACCCTAAACCCTAAACCCTAAACCCTGAACCCTAAACCCTCTAACCCTGAACCCTCATAGAAGCCCCTAAAACGGTAGACCCGAAACCGCTAAACCCCGAAACCCTCACCTTGGCCCATGAAGGGA